GCTGATGCTGATGCTGATGCTGATGCTGCTGATGCTGATGCTGATGCTGATGCTGATGATGATGATGATGATGATGATGATGATGATGATGATCGTGATGATGTTGATGACGATGATGATGATGATGATGATGATGATGATGATGATGATGATGATGATGATGATGATGATGATGATGATGATGATGATGATGACTATGATGCACGATTCGCGATGAGAAATGGGTGCTGGGGAACAGCCCTGGGGTCAGCATCAGTCTCCTTAAGGACCCGATTCTTGTGTGCAAGTGAGGATCGAGAATGGAGACGTTTGAACGATCACTTGTTGCAGGCTAGTCGGTACGCCATTTGTTGCTGCATAGCATCGTCTTGCCGATCCGCCTCTCATTCTCCTCCTTCCCATCCCCTCCTCTCTCTCTCTCGCCTTTCCTGCCTCTTCTCCTGCCGGTTGGATTTGTGAGCACGCCACTTTTTACCGGTCGTAGTTTTTCCTGGGGGCACTACAACGACAGCGCGTCGCCGAATCGAAAACACAACATGCTGTTCGTGCTTACTGGGGAGGTGGATCCACCTGACGGTGCCGACCTGGGCGAGAGCTGGACTGGCGTGTGGCCACATGTCCTTCCAGCGCTCGGCGCTCGCATGGCCAGGCACGGCGATCCTCCACGCGTGTGTCCACCAAGTGGCCTCCGCACGTCTCGCACGCGAATCTGGCCACGCGTGTGCTCCAGCGTCCTGGCGGTGGCCTCGCGGAGGCCCGCCCGCCGCAGGTGGACCTCAGTCTTGGTGCCTGGAGTGCCTGCGGCTGCCTCCCAGGTGCGAGGCTTACGTGCCAACGTGGTGGCGCCCCGCTCTGTGGACGACAACCCAAAGAGTCTGGACATCTAATGCCTTCTGCTGTTCCGAGACTTCCCGCGCTACCGGGCCCTTGTTCGGAATCCGCAGCGCCGCGCGTCCCTCCTCGGTCCCGCTCCCTGCCCGTCCTTCCCTTCCTCCTGCCTCTGCCCTCCTTTTCCGCATCATGCCCATTTCGACACATCCTTCGCACGCTTCGTGCCACCACAGGGCGCTCCACCTGCGGCCCCAGTGGGCGCGCACACGCGCATGCCGCCCAGCGCCCAGTTCGGCACGTCCCTCGCGCGCTCCATGCTCCCCACAGGAAGCTCCACCTGCGGCCCCAGTGGGCGCGCGCATTTGGGGATGCCGGGGGGACCTCACCTCATACCCATTGGTCGTTGAAAGTAGGCATTTTGGGATTCCCAGGTGCCAAACTACTTTAGGCGCATTCCAATTTCAATGATCCAGTGGCTTCATCTTTTCCGTTCTCTTTAGGGGGCGGGCGGAAACCCAATCTATTTTCAACGCTTTCCTAGTCCATGTTCCTACCTACTTCTTCCGACCGATGGTTAAAACTGATCACCCCCTCAAAGTCCCTGGGAGTCCACACTTCGGCGGACGAGGACAGGTATACCATAAATCTTCTTCTGCAGTCGGGGACGCCAAACGAGTTGATGTTATACCGTTCTTCGTCCGCGAAATTTCGCCAGCGTGGGATGCGTGCCGTGTTGCTTCGGCTGGACTTGTGAACGGTCCAAGATCGCTTCCAAGACTGCCGAAACGGTCCTCGATGGCCTTCTAGTTTGCTAAGGTGGCCTCCAAGACGGCCAAGACGGCCCATCATAGCGTCCAATTTGGCCCAATAGAAGCGAGGCGGCTCAGGAGGACTTCAGGGGGTCCCGCAAGAAAGCCCAACTCGTTAAACGCCAGTTTTTTCCATGACCTCGCCCCAAGACGGCCGAGAAGAGCCCCGAAGGGTCCCACAACGGCCCCACGACGGCCCGGGAGGGCTTCGAGACGCCCCAAGAAGCCCCAGCAGGCCCCTACGAGGCTTCGAACTTGTGACCTCGTGTGAACCAGTGGTTGGCAGCAAGACTGCCCCAGGAAGCTGCCAGAGGTCCTCAAGAGAGCGCACGATGTTTTAGCACTTTGGCAAGCCCCGACCCGAGAACATATGCACCCCGAAAGGTATCCAAACGCTCTCGTCGCGATGCTGGGCTGGGAGAAAGTTTTGCGACGAGGCAAGGGGGAGGCGTAAGGCGTAAACCCCTAGGGAGCGGAAGAACTGCAGAGAGATTTGGGCACGCCTCCAGGCCATCTGCCGCTCATAGGGATGGTGGGATGCACACCTGAATCGCACCAGTGCAACTGAGTCTGGGACACTGTGGACAGGACCCCGTGAGTGACGACCTTGGCCAGGCCCAGCACGCATTCAGGTGGTAAAAGCCCCTTTCGTGCAGACAGTGTGTTGGGAATGTCCCAATTAGTTCCTGGCGTGTCCCGCCCGTAGCCCGACCAGCGCCCGCACCGCTGTCGCACTCTTGCGCCCGCTGAGTTAAAAGTGTGGGGGAAATGATCTGCTGGGCCCCACACCCCAGAACCGCCGAAAACCTGTGAAGACTCTTCTCATCCTCCACCTTCTTCCTCATAGGCAACCCCTCCTTGTCGCACCACCAGAGGTTTCGGTGAAGCAGTCTGGGCGTTTTGCCTCAGACTTCCTCACCTCTGCGGGTCCTGGAGCTCAAACCCACGGACGGTGAACTTGAGCCAGTTTCAGAATACGTTTCTCGCCCTGCCGCCGTTCGCATTCGTCTTTGAGTTGAACCAGTTGCATGAATTGGGGGCGAATCGTTTTCAAGCCCGGGCCTGTCCTTTTACAGGAGGAATATTCAAAAGTAGTCCAAACATCGTATTGGGACGATTTTTGTTTTGTAGACCGTTTTTGAATATTTCAGGGCATTTTTTGGCTATCTTTATTTTCGTCTAAAATCGGCTTGTAGGGGGGCATGCCCGACTTAACCCGAGCCCAAGATGGTCCGCAATGGTGGCCCTCCTGGCCAAGGAAAAGGGCGGCTTTCGCCCCATCGGCGTTTTTCCCTCGGGTTTTCGCCTCTGGGGGCGGGCTCGCAGGCCTCTGGCTGAAGCCTGGGAGACCAGGTTTTCTCGTGACCACTGGGCCTTTGGAAGACACAGGGGTGTCCTCGACTGTGTCTGGCGCCAGGCTTTCGGGTCCGAAGCAGGAGTCAGGAAAGGCTCTTGCGCGTCTCGTCTCGCCTCGTCGTGCATCATGGGGGAGGGTGCCCTCCACTGTTTTTCGCTTCGGCAGGCGGAGGGGCTCCTGTTCTTGAAGGAGGAGGAGGAGGAGGAGGAGGAGGAGGAGGAGGAGGAGGAGGAGGAGGAGGAGGAAAGGACTTCGTCAGGACCGGTCTTCCTTCGCAGCGCTGCCATCTCTTATGCGGATGATTTTCACAGGCAGGCCCGCGGGGCACCCCCCGTCGTGCACAGGGGGGGGCGCGTGCGCTGTGGCAGAGGGGCATCCCTGCACGGACTGCCGAGGAGTGGCTTCTGGGACGAGAGGGTGCGCTGCAGCATCCTCCTCCTGATCCTCCTCCTTCTGCTCCTCCTGATCCTCCTCCTCCTCCTCCTGATCCCCCTCCTCCTCCTCCTCCTCCTCCTGCTCCTCCTCCTGCTCCTCCTCCTCCTCCTACTCCTCCTCCTACTCCTCCTCCTGCTCCTCCTCCTACTCCTCCGAGCATCGCCCAAGCCCTCGTCAAACCCTCGCTGGACTCGCCTCTAGGAGCTGCACTGCTCCGCATCCTCCTAAAGTCCATTTCGATCCGATCGATCTGATTCGATATCAATTGCGGTCGAGATATTCCGACGATTCGATGCGACCCGATGCTTGCCTGGCGCTGCCGTGAACCCTGGTGCTTCTGATCCGACTCGATCGCGACTCCGTGTCGATGCAGCCTGATCCGACGCACACTCCTATCCGATTAGATCTCCCGATTCGGTGCTGATCGCTCAGGCCCTCTTTGCGCGCGATCCCGCGCGCGCGGGCGGGCGACGACGACTCGCGGGCAGAGAACATATCCACATCCATGGCCTCGCGGGCCGGGTCCCTGAGCCGCGGTCCCGTGGATCAAGGGCGTCTCTTCGCGGATGCCCCGCGCGGGACGTGTCCGTGCGACCGCGTGTCCGCGGGATCGCGCTCCGATATCCAGACCGCGAGGGCGTGGATGTGGAGATGCATGCCGCTCGTGGAACGACGACGGCGGCGAGGCTGGTGATGAAGGCGCACCTGTCCACGCCGCAGGCCTCCGCCCGCAGGGGCCCTGCGCACCTCGCGCGAGCCCGCGTGCGGGCTCGCCGCGGCCGTCGCCGTCGCCGTCGCCGTTGCGCGTGGCTGTCGCCGCCGCCGTGGCCGTGGCAGCCGCCGTCGTCGTCGTCGTCGTCGTCGTCGTCGTCGTCGTCGTCGTCGTCGTCGTCGTCGTCGTCGTCGTCGTCGTCGTCGTCGTGGTGATGGTCGTCGTCGTGATCGTGGTGATGGTCGTCGTCGTGGTCGTGGTGATGGTCGACTACGACGATCGTCGTCGTCGTTGTGGTGATGATCGTCGTCGTTTTCCGCCTCGTCTTCATCCGAGGATCGAGTATCGGGATTGATCGTTTTGGGACGTTTTTGGTTCTTTCTGGACCTCTGGAGGCCTTCCAGGGGCCTTGTCCTCTCGCGGGCACAGCTTGTCCTTTCCGCTACTTCTGCTCCTGTTCCTGCTATTCTTGTCCTCCCCCTCCTCCCCCTCCTCCTTTTCCTCCTCCTCCTCCTCCCCCTCCTCCTCCTCCTCTCCTCCTCCTCTTCCTTCCAGCATCAGCGCCTTCTTTGGTACGTACCAGAAAGCTGCTGGTCTGGGCGCGGCTGGCCTGGGCGAGAGCTCTGTACACATGTGGCGAGAGGTCTCTCCAGCGCTGGGCCCTCCTCTGGCAGGGTACCCAGGGCTTCCGCGTGAGTCTCCGGCGCGTGGCCTTCGGATGTTCAGCATGTGAACCCAGCCGTGTGCGTATCCGACTTGCCTAAAGCCATGTTGGCTTCAGGTTGGCCTTTGGCGCCAGAACTGCTGCTCCGGTCACCCGGGCCCCTCCCGGTGCACCGATGGGCGGCTCTTGCAGGCGCCTGTGCGGCCTCCTGGTCTTCGCTCTGGCGTTGGCGGGGTCCTCGGGCGACTGCGAGGAGTGCGCAGCGGAGGAGCAGACGCTGACCCTGCTCCAGGCGCAGTCGCAGCTCCGCTCGGGGGCGATGTCCATGTCCCTGGTGAAGAAGACGCGCAAGACCAAGTCGTCGAGCGCTGGGCACAAGATGGCATACTTCGGCCTCGTGGACGTCGGGACGCCGCGCCAGGGCTTCTCCGTGGTCTTCGACACTGGGAGCGGCAACCTCATCGTGCCGGGCAGCGACTGCGACAGCCACGCGTGCCAAATCCACAGGAGATTCACCATGAAGAAGTCCAGCTCCGCAAAGGCTGTGAACTGCGACGGCTCCGCAGTGCGCAGGGGGCACTACCCAGACGAGATAACCATCACCTTCGGCACTGGGAGCATCAGCGGGCGCTGCATCCATGACCAGATTTGCATCGGCAGCGCCTGCACCGAGGGTGACTTCATCTCGGCAGCGTGCCGAGGGGGGAAGTGAGAGGGAGCAGGCCTGCTCAGAAGGCGGCGGGGCTTCTCAGAAGCCCCCTCGGGCCTTCTGGGGAAGGCCCCGTCTGTGGCTTCGGAGACGGCGTAGAACGCTTCTCAGAAGGCTTCTGGCTTTCTGAGCCTTCTGAGCAGGCCCGCTCCCCCTGGGTCCCTCCTGGGTGCGCCGCCGACCCTCTCCTCTACGGATGAGACTTCTCAGCCTTTTGCGGCGTTCGACTTCGACGGGGTGCTGGGGCTTGCCCTCCCCAGCATGGCCCAGGGCGGGTCCTTTAGCACGATGGAGCCCGGCCGGTCGGAAGCCAACGGTCGCGCCGACCACAGCCGCGTTGAGAGCAACAGGGAGAGAGAATCCCCAACGTATTTCTGGATAGTTTCGATTTCGATGTGCCGAGGGCATTCTGGGCCTACTTCTCCACACCTTGCTTGCACCTAGGGCTTCTTAATTGTGCCACCAAGGGAGGGGAAGGGTCCCGCGAGGATGTTGCACGTTGCCGCCCGTGGCCGCCTCGTGGCCGACTCGTGCGCTGGGTTGGTCCCGCGAGGTTTCGCCACGTTGCCGCCCGCGGCCGCCTCGCGGCCGCCTCGTGCGCTGCGTGCGTGGATCGGGCGAGGCTTCGCAACGTCGCCGCTTGAGGCCGCCTCGCGGCCTTTCCCACACAGTGCTTGCACTTTTTCTTTTTCCGTATTATTGGACCAGGTACCTTGCGCCTCATACCTTGCACCATAAACCTCCCACGACGTACCGTATGAGTTACGCCACATACCTTGCACCACAGCTTTCACCACACATCTTGCACCACATAACTTGCGCCATATTGTCTGGACATCCACTGTGCAGCAACATCCTCGTTGGGATCCACGCTGACAAATTGGTAAGAGCAAGCAGCCATAGCTAATGTGTAGGAACAGACCACCGAAACCGGTAAGCGTAAGCCACCGAAGCCGTCAAGAGCACTCTTTCCAGAGACTCGTAAGGACAACGCTCGAAATTTCAAAGGTCTCTTGTTGAGGGTTGGAGCTTCCATGCTGGCTCGAAGGTTTGCTGCTGATTTTGTCGTTGCGCAACTTCTTTTGGCACAATCTGTAGTTGCACGACTTCTGTGGAGGGCAGGGGCACGCACGTACCAGGGGCGTGTCGTCCAGAGTGTGGGGAAGGGAGGGAGCAGGTGGATGAAGAGGTGGTAGAGGAGGAGGAGGAGCAAGAGGAGGAGGAGCAGGATGAGGAGGAGTAGCAGGAGGAGCAGGAGGAGGAGGGTGAGGAGGAGGAGGAGGAGCGGGAGGAGCAGGAGGAAGAGGAGGAGGAGGAGGAGGAGGAGGAGGAGGAGGAGGAGGAGGAGGAGGAGGAGGAGGGGGTGGAGGAGGAGACGGAGGAGGAGGAGGAGGAGGCGGGGGTAGGCTGCACGCTATGGGATCTGAAGCCACCAAGAACCAGGAACCAGGAGGAGGAGGACGAGTAGGACGAGAAGAACCACCGTGCACCCAAGATATCACATAGACATAAAGGATGCTGCAACACACCTTCTTTGTCCTAGGTCCCCTGAGCATTCGTTCCTACAGGCATCCTGATTCGTTGCGCGCGGCGGCCTCTTGAGAGACGAGCGCCCCCTATGTGCCCGCAAGTCAAGCTGGAGCTCCGTTTCGAAAGATCTGCCCTCCATTCCTTGAGCTGTGATTGAATGCGACAAGACGGTATCGTAACATTCACAAGGAAGTGCCCAGCGGCAGCCTGGCCTTCAAAAAAGGATCCGCCCGCTACCCGAGTCTAGGCTTTCAGACGTCTGGCGATGGAGTCAGGCGAAGTCTCGAGCGAGAGCCCCAGTTTGAAACGAGTCCGCCCTCCACCCGGGTAACTTTCGCACAAGGTTAGCTTGTGGTGTCTGCATGTGTGTGCGGTGTGTGTATGTACATGGTGTACACCTGTTTCGTGCATGCATGCAGCAGAAGTATGGTTGCATTCATGCATGCATAGCTGCATGCATGCATGCATGCATCCATATACGTACGCATGTATGCACGTCCGAACTTATGCAATCATACATGTCAATACGCAGGCATGTACGTTTATGTATATATGTGTATGTATATGTATGTATACACATATATATATATATATATGTATGTATGCATGTATGTATGTGTGCATATAGGTATATATGCATGTATGCATTGATGTACATATATGTAGGAATGCATGTATATATGTAGGTATGTATGCATGTACGCGCACACGCATGTTTACATGTATGTGTGCATGCATGCATGTATGTATGCATGCCTGCATGTATGTAGTCAGGTAGGCATGCATACAGCAGTATGCATGTAGGTATGCATGCACGTATGAATGAGTCCATGTCTACACATGCATGTTTGTGCGTACGTATGTGAGTATTCATGCGTGCATGTATCTATTGTTGTCTGTCTGTCTACCTGTCTGGATGACTGTATGTCTGTTTAGATGTATTCATGTATATATACATACACGTGTATGTTTGTTTGTATGTGCGCATGCATGTATGTATGCTTATATGTCTGTATGCATGTGTATATGTATGCATGTGTGTATACATGTACGCATGCAAGTGCACATGACATTGCGCATGCATGGCACCATGTATCTGTCAATATTCCACAGTGTGCTGTACATGTTTGCATGGTCGAAGACGCATACGGCGAACCACCGCTCGCATACGCCCATGTCCCCAAATTCGGCTTTCCTAAGGCGTTCTCATTTGGTTAAGAGGACTGGTGCCTCAGGGGGGGCACGTCGCCCGTTCCCTTGGTTCCTCTGGTTCCTCGGGTTCCTCTGTTCCTCGGGTCCCTCGGGTTCCTCGGGTTCCTGGGGTTCCTCAGGTTCCTCGGTTTCCTCGGTTTCCTCGGGTTCCTCGGGCTTCTCGGGCTCCCATGCAAAGCAATGCCAGGCATACCAAGCAATGCCAAGCAGTGCCAAGCAATGCCAAGCAATGCCAAGCAATGCCAAGCAATGCCAAGCATTGCCAAGCAATGCCAAGCACAACCAAGCAATGCCAAGCAGAACCAAGCAATGCCAACGAAATGCCAAGGCATTCCAAGCGATGCCAAGCAATGCCAAGCAATGCCAAGCAATGCCAAGCAATGCCAAGCAAAACCAAGCAATGCCAAGCAATGCCAAGCAATGCCAAGCAATGCCAAACAATGCCAAGCGATGCCAAGACATGCAACGCAATGCCACTCCATGCCAAGCAATGCTAAGCAATGCCAAGCAATACCAAGCAGTGCCAGGCAATGCCAAGCAATGCCAAGCGATGCGATCAGCGATGCGCCCATGCAATAGGCTTTCCCCTAATTGGGGTCGCGCTGAGTTCATGGCCGAACGTTGCGACCAGAGCTCGGCCAAGCTATCGAATCATGTGTTTCCCTCAGCCGTTGTGGAAACCATTCGGGGAACACGTGAGGGATGAAGAAACAGAGGAGGAGAGAGAGGACAATAATGATGAGGAGTAGGGGGAGACCTCAGGGCCGTTTTGGAGTCCCTCTTGGGCATCTTGGACGTGTCCTGGGCCGTCTTGAGGCCCTCGTGGGGCCATCTTGAGGGAATCTTGGGCCGTCAGGGGGCCATCTCGGGGGCCTCTTGGGCGCTCTCGGGGTCATCTTGGGTGCCTCTGCGGCCATCTTGGGCCGCCGGACAGATACATACGGGAAATAGCTATGTTGATTTCTTGGGGCCTTCCTGAAGGATCTATTTGAGGCCTGAGGGCCTCTTGAGCTGTCCTGGGCCATCTTGAGGCCATCTTAGGCCGTCTTGGCTGCATCTTGGGCCGTCTTGGAGGCATCTTTCGGCCATCTTGGGCTCGCTTGGGCCATCTTGGATGTCGTTTTGGCCATCATTGGCGTCTTGGGGGCTTCTTGGGGCGTCTGTGGCCCTCTTGTGGCCGTCTTGGGTGCCTCTCGGGCCGTCATGGGGCCATCTTGGAGGCCTCTTGGGTGACCTTGGGGCGATCTACAAGACCTCTTGGCCCGTCTTAGGCCATCGGACGGCCAAAAAGGAGCGAATGACATCATCCTGCAAAACATATAATGTTTGAATGATTTTGGCACCTTCATGACTTCCTGAAAAACCTCTTGGGGGCCTCTTGGGCCCTCTCGGGCGGCCTCTTGGGGGCCTCTCGGACTGTCTTTAGTCATCTGGAGGCCAACTTATTCCGTCTTAGCTGCATCCTGGGCCGTCTTGGAGACATTTCGCGGCCATTTTGGGCCCTCTTGGGGCCATCTTGGCCCTCTTGGAGGCCGTTGTGGGCGTCTTGGGAGCCATTTGGTCTTGGGGCCGTCGTAGGGGCTTCTTGGGCTCTCATGGGGCCATCTTGGATGCCTCTGTGGCGATCTTGGGGCGATCTTGAAGACCTCTCGGGTCGTCTTGGGCCGTCGGAGAGCCGAAAAGGCGCAACAGCAAACACCTTCACACACCTACGGGAAACAATCCATTCGACCTCCTTGAGTCTTCCTGTAGGTCCTCTTGGAAGCCTCTTGGGCTGTCTTGGAAGACTCTTGGGAGCTTCTTGGGCTGTCTTGGGCCATCATGGGGCCACCCTAGGCCGTCTTGAGTTCGAATTTGGTCGTCTTGGCAACAATTTTTGGCCATCTTAGGCTCTCTTGAGGCCATCTTGGCCGTCTGGGAGGCCATTGCGCCCGTCTTGGAGGCCATTGAGGCCATCTGAATCGAAAAGGCAGGCGGGAGGCGCGTTTTGGGGAGCTTTTCGGGTGGCCGCCGGGCTGGGCCAAAGCCCCACGGGGAGTTCTTCAGAAAAGAGCCAAACACCTGCCAGTCATTTGGCACGCTGTGCACCCTGTGGCAAGACCACATGGGGGCGGCGGATGACGGATGAGGGGGTTGGCCTCGGCGGCCCCAGATCAATTGGCACAATGTTTGGTCATGTTCGGCCTCAGATGGCCGAAGTCAGCCCCAAGAGCGCCTCACGGGGACCCCAAGACGACCCAAGGCAGCCCCAGGAGCGCCCAAGCTACCGCCACGACGGCCCAGGCCCAAGAGGGGCTCAAGACGGCCCGAGAGCGCTCAAAGAGGTCCCCAAGATGGCCTCAAGACGGCCCACGATGCCCTCAAGATACTCCACGAAGCTTCTAAACAGGACGTCCAATGGGCAAGCATCGTCGCATTCCATTTGGGACACACATGTGTCAATATGTATAGATGTGTCTGTATGTATGTACGCATGCATGCATACATGCATGCATGCATGTACGTATGTATGTACGTATGTATGTATGTATGTATGCATGCATGCATGCATGTATGTATGTATGTATGTATGTATGTATGTATGTATGTATTTATGTATGTATGTATGTATGTATGTATGTATGTATGTATGTATGTATGTATGTATGTATGTATGTATGTATGTATGCATGCATGTATGTATGTATGTATGTATGTATGTATGTATGTATGTATGTATGTATGTGTACATATATGCATGCTTGTTCGGTCTTCACAGGGTCTGCGACGGCCCATGAGGTCAGGATCCTCCCAAGACTGCACAAGAGGCCCCCAAGACGGCCCCAAGATGGCCCAAGAGGGCTCCAAGACGGCCCCAGAGGGCACCAAGACGGCCCAAGAGAGGCCTCTGAGGGCCCCAAAAGGTTCCCAAGAGAACCCAAAGAGGGCCACACGAGGTTCCCCAGAGGGCTCTGAAGGTGCCCCGGGACGGCCACGAGGCAGCCCAAGCCCCCCAAGACGGCCCAAGAGGCCCCAGGACGGCCCAAGAGGGCCCCAAGACGGCTCAAAGGAGCTTCGAAAGGACCCCCCAGAAGACCCAGTCAGGAGTGTGGCCAAACGGTCGCGTCAGAGCCCCAATCGGCCCCAGACACTCCCAAGACACCCCCCAAGACACCCGAAGACGAACCAAAGAACACCACCAATAGCAAAGTCACGAACGGAAAATCAATATGGTTGTTTTTTCCCAACCATCCTGTGGTGTTGGGTTCTCGTTTTGAAGAGACAGCGCCCTGCGTCTCATCCTCCTCTCCTCTCCTCCTGCTCTCCCTCATCCCTCTTCCCATCCGCCTCAGGCCGCATGCGTCAACGCCATCCAGGACAGCGTTTCGTGACCCCATACGGAGCTCCACCGAAGGCTCCAGAGGCATAGGCCGCACGCGTCAACGCCACTCAGGACAGCGCTTCGTGACCCCATAGGGAGCTCCACCGAAGGCTCCAGAGGCACAGGCCGCATGCGTCAACGCCACCCAGGATAGCGTTCCGTGGCCCCATAGGGAGCTCCACCGAAGGCTCCAGAGGCACAGGCCGGATGCGTGAACGACACCCAGGACAGCGCTTCGTGGCCCCATATGGAGCTCCACCGAAGGCTCCAGTGGCACAGGCTGCATGCGTCAACGCCACCCAGAACAGCGTTTCGTGGCCCCATAGGGAGCTCCGCTGAAGGCTCCAGTGGCACAGGCCGCAAACATCAACGCCACCCAGGACAGCGCTTCGTGGTCCACCGAAGGCTCCAGTGGCACAGGCTGCATGCGTCAACGCCACCCAGGACAGCGCTTCGTGGCCCCATAGGGAGCTCCACCGAAGGCTCCAGTGGCACAGGCCGCATGCGTCAACGCCACACAGGACAACGTTTCGTGACCCCATAGGGGGCTCCACCCCGAAGGCTCCAGTGCCTCAGGCCGCATGCGTCAACGCCACCCAGGACAGCGCTTCGTGGCCCCATAGGTCCACCGAAGGCTCCAGTGCCACAGGCCGCATGCGTCAACGCCACCCGGAACAGCGTTTCGTGGCCCCATATGGAGCTCCACCGAAGACTCCATAGGCACAGGTCGCATGCGTCACGCCACCCAGGACAGCCCCATATGGAGCTCCACCAGAGGCTCCAGTGGCACAGGCTGCATGCGTCAACGCCACCCAGGACAGCGCTTCGTGGCCCCATAGGGAGCTCCACCGAAGGCTCCAGTGGCACAGGCCGCATGCGTCAGCGCCACCCAGGACAGCGCTTCGTGGCCCCACAGGGAGCTCTACCGAAGGCTCCAGTGGCACAACACACATGCGTCAACGCCACCCAGGACAGCGTTTCGTGGCCCCATAAGGAGCTCCACCGAAGGCTCCAGTGGCAGGGTCCGCATGCGTCAACGCCACCGATTTCGGCGCACCCCTCACGCGTTTCGTGACCCCATACGGAGCTCCACCGAAAGCGGTACCCGCAATGCGGCACTCGCAGCTGCATATGGTTGGGTCCTGTGTCAGGCTAATTTGCTTGTGGTAATCGATGGTTCGGAGTTCTGGGCTTCCGAGACCGCCGAAGCGGCGCCATTAGTCGCATCAAAGCGGGTCAACAAGGCACTCAGGAAGTCGCAAGGAGCTTCAAGACTGCCCAACAGGTTCCCTAGACGGCCCGAAGAGGTCCCCATGACGGTCCAAGAAGTCTCCAAGACGCCCCCCCACGCATTCCAAATCGTGCCCAGATCGTTGAGAGAGACCGTTGTCGGGAGCAACGTGGCCCCAAGTAGCCCTCAGAGGCCATCAAAACACCCCCAGGAGGCCTCGAGATACCATTTGCATCCTCGAAGAAGCCATCGTGATGCCTCCAAGAGACCCTCTAAGGAGGAGCCTCCGTAAATCAACAATTATAAAGGAAGACAGGGAAAGGCTCCTAGGAGGGTTATTATAAGAAGGTGAATAATTCAGATCTGACAGGGAGATGGAAGAACAGGAGGATTCTTCTCTCTCTCTCTCTCTCTTACTCCGCCTGCCTTCGAAGCTTGAAGGGCCAAGATGCACGGCGTGAAGCACCATGTCAGTCTTGTATGTTCGTATGTGTAAAACATACATGTTCACGAGCGCTGTGGTAATTTTGTCTGCCCAGGAGCGCCTGTCGAAAGCCGGCACGCTGCGGAAACCGCTGTTCTCCGTGTTCCTGTCGGACTCTAGCCTGGAGACCTCGGAGATCACGTTCGGGGAGATCAAGAGCGAGCACATGGCCTCCGACTTGTTCTGGGTGCCGGTCACGGGCACCGCGGGCTACTGGGAGGTCCGGATCGAAGACATCACCATCGACAAGGCCCGGCAGGGTATCTGCAAGGACTGCCGCGTGGCCGTGGACACTGGCACCTCGCAGCTGGCCGGCCCGAGCGCCCTCGTCGAACATATGATCGACCTGCTGAACGTGGCGCCCGATTGCCGGAACTTCGACTCGCTGCCGGAGCTGGGCTTCATCATCGGGGACAAGATCCTGACCCTGTCTCCCAGCCAGTACGTGGAGAAGTTCGGGTCGAGCTGCAGTGTGGCGCTGATGAGGCTCGACGTGCCGCCGCCAAACGGTCCCTTGTTTGTGTTCGGCATCCCGTTCCTGCAGAAGTACTACAGCGTCTATGACCACGCCAACTCCCGGGTCGGCTTCGCCGTGGCCAAGCATGCCGGCGACAGGGGAACGAGCGAACCGGGTGCCCACCTGGGCTCCAGGACGCTGCTCCGAGGAGGAGGAGGAGGAGGAGGAGGAGGAGGAGGAGGAGGAGGAGGAGGGGGAGGAGGAGGAGGAGGAGCAGGAGGAGCAGGAGGAGGAGGGGGGGGCTCCTCCTGCCAGAGTGGACAGGGGGGAGCTACGGTCAAGACGTTGAAGCGAGAGCCACTTCGGGGCTTGGGAGGGGGCTTCTGGTGCTCGGGCCTTCTCTCCGAGCTGGGTCGGGGAGCCGTTTCGTGGCCGCGGCTTGTCGTGGCCAGAAAATGTCCCTTCGTCCCTCGGTGCAGGGCTCCTCGCTGCACCCCGATGCCTGCAGCGTGCGCGCGGATGTCGAGCGAGATGCCCTCGCGTCTCCTTGCTGGCCTCGCTCTCGAGCGGCAAGTCTGTGGCCTCTGGGGGCCGATCGGGGCGCCAGCTTCTGCCGCCTCGGCGCCCTCGCCGAGCTCCGGAGGGCCATCGGCGCGGGTGTGTTGGCACTCTCTGGTCTAGGCCTCCTAGATGAGGTCGAAGTAGACGGGGTCGGAGGATATCGCCGCATCGGCGATGCATCGTCGTTGTATTGCCGATGCGGCTCGATGTAGGGCCCAATTTTCTTCACGCAGGCGGCGCCGATGCATCGCCGACGTCGCCAATGCATCACCGTCACCATCCGCATCATCATCATCATCATCATCATCATCCTCCTCCTCCTCCTCCTCCTCATCATCATCATGCCTCTTCTATTCTCTGTGAGCAAGCTCCTGCTGTCTCCGCAGCTTCTCTGCCCAAGTGCCCCCCGTCGGCCGCGCGTGCGGGCGCCTTATGCAGGCGGTCGCACAAGCGGCTCTCAGGGCGCTGGGGAGATTTTGTTCAGGGGGCTGCGGGCCGCGCTCTACGAGCGGCTCGTGGCTGCCCCCCTCTCTGTGCTTCAGGACCAGGGGCCTCCAGCTCCTGCCTGGTCCATCCTGCAGGCGGACTCGTCCGAGGGCGAGGGGGCCTCCTGCCCTCTCCCTTCGGCGGGTTCCACCTGCCCCACCGTCTGCCTCGGGCTGGCGGTGGACCTGAGCGGCGGGGTCTCTCCCTGGCTGCTCAGCACGGTCGCCGCCCTCCTCTGGGTGACGGCCGCCTGCAGCGCCTGCGCGGGCTGCTGCCTCGGGCTGCTGGGCCCGTACGTGTGGCGGAGGCTCTGGCCCTTCGCCTGGCCGCGCGGCGCGGTTTCTGCTTCACCTGAGCAGGACCGCCGTGCGGCGCGAGCGCTGGCCTACGGGGCTCCGCCTCGACCTCAAGCGCTCGAGCGGGCAGACGCCCAGCGTGCGGGCGGCGGCGTCCACGGCGGCGCCCACTGATGGCGGAGCTGCCACCAGTTGGCGGAGGGCCCCTTTGGCCCGAGCTCTACCCTTTCGCTGCGCCCACGGCGCGCGACTACGCACGATGGCGCCTAGACGACGGCGACACCAGCTGGGCGGCTATCCCCCTCGCCTCTCGAGAAGGGGGCATCCTGCTGGCCCTGCCTGGTGCCTTTCGCTCTACAGCGGAGCTCGAGGCTGCCGAGGCGGATGGCTTTGCTGGGATGATAGGCCCCTTCCAGCTAGTGGACGTCCAGCTCCAGGGGGCCGCTTCACGGCCGCTCGCCACTACCGCATCCGTCCTCGTTATAGATATCGAGGTTGCCGAGCTCGAGCTCGAGTCGCTGTACCCTCTAGAGGTCGGCGACGACGCAGGCATCGTTCCCTTCGCCGAGGTGCGCAGCCGCGTCTATTGGCCGCATCCTTCGGGGGTTCGGGTGCTTCGCGAGGGCTACGCTCGTTTGCACGGCGCCCCGCCTACCGCAGGGGAAGAGCCTCTCCCAGGGGCCGATCGGGCTACCCCCTACCACTCTGCCGACGAGATGGAGGAGCCCGAGGGGTTCGCGGCCGACGGGGAAGCCGACCGCGCGGCCCCAAGTGCGCGAGCCCCCGCGGTCGCTGGAGCGCCGCGCGGCCCGCCCGCCAAGCGCGCTGGCGCCGCCGCGCCGCCACGGGTCGCGGGTCCTGCTCCGATTGCTCCTGGCGCTCCTGCGGCGTCTCTGGACGACGGGGCTCCCATGACCCGCGCCGAGGTAGCTGCCGAAATGCGCGCCTTGCTTGCAGCCCACGCGGCCTCCACGATGGTCGGCGGACCCGAACCGCTGGGCCCCGCTCCGGCTGCCCAGAGCGCTCGGCCCGAGGTGCCTCAGCTTTTCAGCGACGAGGCGGCGCGCCTCGGGCTGGATCCTGCGGGGATCGAGGCCGTCTTGTCCCACGCACCCGTGGCCCCTCATCGGGTCTCCGCGCGCCCCAAGGGACCCACCTCCGCGCTGGTCTCGGCGTGGGAGAAGGCGCGCTCTTCTGCTGTCCCTCGGGCCCCTTCGTCCGCTTTCGGACCGATGGGCCCCCCGCCGCCGCCTGGGCTAGCCTATCCCGCTGCGGTCGACGGCTTTGCCGAGGCGGGCGGCGCCGACGGGTTAGAGCCGCCCCTTGCGGCCAATCCGACGGACTTCAGCCTCATGCTTCAGTGCCTGCACCAGTCCCTTTCCTTGCAGCAGGGGCGGGGCCATCGCCCAGCCTTCCACCCGCTTCTGGGGACCCTGAGCGACCAAGCTCAAACTCCGCCCGCGACCTCGGGCGACCCCGCGCACGCATCGGCTCAGATGGGGGGAATCGCTCGGAGGCGCGAGTGGCAGCAAGCGCTGATGCAGCACGGCCCCGACGTGCGAGGACTGATGAGGGAGAATTTGGCCCGCGTTCTGGGCGTGGAAGTCAGCGCCGTGACCCCCATGGCCATGCATCAGTACTTTCGCGAGCACAGCCCCCTCGGGGCTCAGCCGTCGACGCACGAGTTGTTGACGCATTTTGCCTTCCTCAGCGCCGAGCTGTGGCGGGCCTGCGAGGAGGGCAACCCCGAGAGGGTCCAGACCTTGCTGACTTGCCAGTGCATGTTCATCGACCAGTTGGCGGGGGACCGCGGCTACCTCGAGGCCGCTTGGTTCCTCACGGGGCTGGAGCCTCCCCCGTGTCGCGTGACCAGTCGTCACACGGAGCGCGAGGCCCAGACCCCGTTTTCACCCCTAGTGGATCCTCGCTGGCTGTCGGCGCAGGGCGAATACATGAAGGAGCTGCAAGCATTTCGGGCGCGCCTCGACGCCGAGCGCGCCGTCGCGCTCCCCAAGCATCCACCTCATCAGCCCAAGCAGCCCAAGGTCTCAAAGCCCCCCTTCAAATCTCAGGGTGCTCCCAAGGCCCCGAAGGCGGTGCCCAAGAAGGACTGAAGATGCCCTTGGCGCCCGCCTTCTTGGAGGGGGGGCCTTCGCGTGGCCGAGGTGCGCCGCCGCAGACAGTCTGCACCGACGCTGCTATGGCTGCTAGGCGTGTTTGGGCGCAGCGAGGGCGTGAGGGTAGGAATGCGCTCCTCCAGCGATGCTGTTGCGGCCCCGCAGGGAGGAGTACGTTCCGCCACCACGCCCCTCGCTCTGCTCCGAACCGCCCCTCGGATCCATTCGGCCATTTTGGCCGTCACCTGCCTCAGTCGAGCGCTCCCCCCATGGGGCCTGCAGCCCCTGAGGTTGGTGTTCTTGCTGGTGCTTGTTCTCCTTCAAGCACCCCTGCTGCTCTTGCCAACGTCGCGCCATTTGTCGCTGACTTGTCTGCCTTGCTGCGCCTGTTTCCAGGTGCGAACATTGATATCACCCACTGGGCGGCAGCGCTGTCCCAGGTTGGGATGGGTGCTCGATGTTCTCTTGGATCTTTCTCCCGCTCATCTATGCGTGCAATGGACCGGGACGACCCGTACCTTTTGGGGCCGCCTCCCCGCGATCCTTGGCCGTGCCCGCCTGCTCCACCTCTTGGTCCCCCGCCTGACGGCTTGTCGGCGAGGCGCAGGGAGCGCTGGAGATTGCGGCGCGCGGCGCGGACGCTCGCGCAGTATTCTGTTATTGCGTTGAACTGGCTCACTTTGGGTCATCCTAGCCTCGCTCCCGCCGAGGCTCGCGTCCGTGCCACGGTCTCGCCCTGCCAGGAGGGCGTCCGCACCCGTATCGAACGGTTGTGTCGGATCGCAGTTCGCCTCGCCCGTGGTGGCAAGAGCGACTTAGGTCGAGCCTTCGCCAAGTTCGACTCTACTGAGGTCTCGCTCCATGGCCTGGCCACCCATGTTGCAGCTTTGGAGGCCTCCTTCACCTCCTCTTCTTCCGTGCCCGCCCCCATGCGGCACTGCCCGACCAGCGCTCCTTCCGTGCCTGGTTCGCTGGCGTCTGCGGCGGCTTGGGACTCCACCCAGGTCGAGCCCTTCGATTTAAAAGTCAGGGCGTCTCGCATTAAGTGGGATTATTCGCCAGTGTTTGATCCCATTCCATTTCTCTCTGACGCTCGAGTCCGCGAAGCGTTCATCAATCCAGAGGAGATGCGGCTCCCGGCGTCAGAGTGGCCTGCTGGCCAAAAGGGGGCGCGTGTCCATATGGACCGCGCCGAGCTGTGGGCCCTGCTCCAGAAGTGGGATGCCTGCGGCGCCCTGTACCTGACTCCTGCTTCGGACCTCGCCTGGGATGAAGCCTGCGGAGCTTTCAGGGTACCGAAGGACAGCGACTTCGACAGGCTGATCCTGAACCCAACGGTCGTGAACAGCCGCTGTGCCTCAATCTCGTCCAGCACCCAGCGCCTTGGCCAGGGTTTCCTGCTGTGCCGTTTGGGTCTGGCGCCTGGGGAGTGGCTGGCAGTTTCTTGCGACGACCTACGGGAGTTTTACTACACTTTCCGCGTTCCTCCCGCGCGCGCCAGGCGTAACGCCCTTCGCGTTCGTCTGCCATCATCCCGCTTCAAGGCCTTTCGAGCCTGGCGCCCCGAGCTCGAAGGTGTGGACGTCGCGCCTTGCCTCAATGCTCTAGCGATGGGCGACAACATGGCGGTGGAGATTGCCAACTCTGCACATGAAGGCGTCTTGCACAGCTTCGGGGCCTTGCGGCCTCAC